ATTTTGTTAATAAAATACATTTTATAAACTCAACTCAAAATAAAATAAAAATTTTAACAGGAAATTTTAGAATTTTAGGTTCACAGTAGTTTCCAAATGTTATAAAAGCTATGTATTAAATATGGAATTAAATTATGAAACAGAATGTTTTAAACTGTGCGCGCAAGTTGGAAACATGACGAAAACTGTTGTCACAAAGCGGATTAAATTATAAAAATATTTGTGGCAACACAAACTTTCTGATGCCTATTTCAGAAAGCAGCTATATTACGTAGTCAGCTGTAAAAAGTTGGTAGTAATTACTTTTAAAATATATAAGTTATCCCAATTCTTGCAACAGTCATCTATTCGAACATCTTATGGGTTTTAAGGTGTACGAGTCCCCTTAAAGCAGTTTTATAATTTTTTTTAGAGGAAAAGAGTCTTTTATTATGTGCTTACGTACAGATGTCACGCAAAAACATCGTTAAATTGCGTTCGATTGCGATCAAAATGGATATTTTCGTTGAAATATGCTGCCTGAAACTTTTCGCGATTACAATACTTCCTTTTCACTTCGTACAAGGAAGTAAATAGAGGTATACACAAAAATGAGATAAAAAAAAGTGGTAATAATACTGTAATTGCACAAATGTATGAAAACTGAGCTGATTTTTGTTGCTTAGTAACTCCAATAATCGTTATTCGAATTTCAGGTAGGCTATTGATAGTTAAGTTTTGGGGCGACGAGAAAATTAGAATTACACCATTATTTGCAACTACACCGCTCTACACTGTCTTCTAAGTTCTGCAAAATTCATCAGCTCTGTTTACGTTACAAGTGCCTTCCAGACGGTACAGTGGTTAGGGGAACATGACTGCTATACCTATGGGTCCGGGTTCGAATCCCGGAGGTGGCATGGATGTAAAAATTGTCTGTCCCTTCATAGGAGGCAATGGTGGCCCACCTATTAGGTGACTCCATAAAAAAGAGACCATCGATCTGGGCTTAGGAGTGGCCGATGTCGGCATAGTTAAGTGCCTGCCATTAGGGAAAAAAAATCTGCTAGCAGGAAACTTTCGGTTATGTTATAAAAAATCAGATTGTAAGAAAAGAATTTATTGTTCAGAAAAGAATTTCGTAAATGATTCCTAGGTTTTATTTTCCAGTTCTGCAATGCATTAATTTAGCACTAATTTAAATCCGAGCTAATTTAAAATTCGATCTCCTGTCTATACGATTTCGAGTTCGACATTTGGTTTTTTACTCTGCACTTCACCGAATGTAATTAGATTTCTGACTCGTTTGCTGCTGTTTCGCTGAATGCGTGTTACGCAACAGACAAGAGCATTTTCGTCGCAGCACAGTTTTGGAGATATTTCCAAAATAATGGCGTCTTTGGTATTCACGAAAATAACGTCAGAAACAATGCAAACTAATAAGAAATTATTCTTGTTTAATATTTAAATCTGATGCAATAGATAATTAACGTCCAGTTTATGCGGGAGAGACGCAATGTGCTTCAGACGAAAGGGAGTTTCCCCAAATTTTATCAAAAATATCGGTAGATCCTGTAAGATTTTAGAATTCTACGTAACCCCTGGTATATTTTGATCATAATATTTATCCTCAGGTTAGTTTTTTTCAGCTGGAATTTTATGATATATGAATATAGGAATTCAGACTGAATATTTGTAATTCTGTTTGAATTTATCACTGTAAAATTTAATAATACTTTCGAGCTTTATTAATGCCTTTGGCAGTTTTCTACGAATTTTAGAAACATATCTAAATGTAAATTGTTTATTTGTTTGTCGTCGAGTCTTTATTTCATGGAAGAAGGTTGGCAGAGCCTCTAGTACGTAGGTTGGACATCTTTTGAGGACCGTACGTAGCGGACCACACTTTTGAGGGACAACACCCCGGGGGGGATGATACGAAGGTCTCCCATCTTTCTTCCCTACCAGCAAGTCACACGTAAAAACTTATGACTCGCCATATATTTAGAGTGTTCCCATGCCACAAAGACATTATACATTTACAAATATCCATGTCTTCTCCGAGATTCGAGTCCGGGTCCTTGGGTGCAACAGTCAGAGTCACAAACCATTATTCTGTCTGGACGACCTAAATTTAAGCGAAATTAAACATTGATTATCTGAAGTAATATAAACCGATACTACTTCGAACAACGGAAAACTTAGATGAAAATAACGGTTACAGCCATTCTGAATGAAATCATTATACAAATTTCAGAAATGTTTGAGTATCATATTAATTTTAAGCCTTATATAAGACCATACAGGGTTTTTAAGATATATATATGTAATAATAAAATTCCATAGTCAAGAATACACTTAAAATTCTAACCGTATGTTCTTTTCATTTTTAATGGCGACGTTCTCTTATTTGAAAGTACGTGGAATTAAATCCACAGCCCCGTAGTCAAGTTGCTTTTCCCGCCTTTTCTACACGTATAGTTACAAGAATGTTCTGGAAATATTTAAAGCGAACTGGAATTGGCTGACGAGGCTGACGTCATTTCTTGGAAGCCTCCGCCTTTCCAGAGGCTTATAAAAGGACTTGCAAAAGGAATATCGGGGACTTTTTCTTTAATGTCACGATGTAAGTAAACTTCAAATACAAAAAGTTATTAGTAATTCTTTTTTATTTACTTCCGGAAGATCTGATTTTTGTAATTGCTATTTTCTCCTGAAATATAATAAATGGATCCTGTTTTTTAAAACTTATCGTCTGATAATGTAAGCTACGACAAAAGCTGGTACATCACATATATATATAAACAGAGAAATCCCCTTTCTTTCTGGTATATAATTTATTACGTATCTAAAATGAGCTCTAGCTTTAAAATAAGAAACATGTACTGCTGTTATGATACAAAATTGTGAATGTTTCCCTTACTTGAAAATTAAAATTAAAGCACATATTTGTCTTCTACAGTAGCCTTGGCGAGCAAGAGAGACCGTGGCGCAATTCGGGCTTAAGAAAGTGCGATTTGTCGCCAAAAGCTGTAAGCATTCACAAAAACGAAACTGAATACAGCAAAAAATAAACAGCCAATTCATTTAGTAACTGTACAACACAAATTATTTAATATACACCTATAACAGGGGTCTAATGTAATTTTTTTATTTATTACAATATTTAATACAATTTTCCGAGAAATTTATTTAAAATAAAAATATATGTAAACAGAACTTATTTAATATTTATTTAAGAAAATTAGTATGCAATTTATTTAAAATAACAACATATATAAACATGTCAAGAACATTAAAAACTTAAATAAATATACCTGTAAGTTTATTTTTTACAGACGCTTACTGATGGCCACAATTCAGCTGCTGTTGTTAGTGATGCTTCAAACATCAACTACAGCTTCTTTTTTCGTTGACAGATGATTGAAAATACTAAATTTAACGAATATTTTGTTATGAAAAACAGTTATATTAACACAATGCAAAAAGTAAAGCATTTGTTTTCACCCATGCGCAGATCGGTAACCGTTTGTTTCTCTCCAATGCAGAAACGTGCCAAATACATTTTTTCGCCAAGGCCATTGTAAAAGACAAGTAACACAAACTATAAAAAAACCCCAAATATTTTCGTAGATTTCAGTTTTATTAAAAAAATTTCATGACATAATTCCAATCAAACTGTTGACAGAGCATTCAAATTCTAATGCCTTAGATTTTTCATGTCATGTTTCGTTACGGTTTTCCTCGGTAGATGGTGCTATGTTCGTTTTTGTTATTTCAACGAAAATAGCCATTTTGACCGCTCTTGAATCCATTTGAACAATTTTTTTGCATGTCATCTGTACGTGTGGGCAAGATAAAGGATTCATTTTTCCAAAACGGATTTTGGAATGGACTTGAAATGGATTCAGAAGCGATTTCTTCGTGACACCTGTACGTATGCATGTATCAGGCATAACTCAAAAACGAGTAATCTTAGAACGTTTCATTTTTGTACATGAGGCTGCTAAAACATGCAGTTGTGCACCTCCCTTTTTTGTTGCATAGATCTCAACAAAAACACACACACACACAACAAAGAGATATATAGTACCTACTCTATCACCCGATACGATAAGATCAGTTTTTTTGTTCGTATATGTTGATAAATAGTGAACCTTTTGCTTTAAAAGTGATTGAACTATGTTTTCCTTATGACCCCGTTAAGGTTTTTATATTTTTAGTTAATCTGCCTCTAATAATTGTAGAATTATCAACAATTTAAAAATTTAAATGGTGCTAAGCCTAACGAAGCTGCCATTTGTTTACATCTGAAACTCTTAGTAAAATAGTGAATTAAGTCAGTTTGTATGCTAACTTCAATGTCTTCTTGCAGAGTGCGATAGAAAGTAAACTTTCAGTTTTGTGCACCGAAAACTCGGTCTTTCTGTCCGTTGGCCGAAATGCTTGTTTTTGCGTAGAAACTCTAATTTTAGTTGTAAAAAATATTTTTTAACTGTATTTCGGGTTTTAGTTTTTATGTATTTTATAATTTTCGATGAAGATGCTTTGAATTTTATTTATTTATTTATTTATTTATTTTTTTTGCTTTGCCGCAAAGTGAGAATTGAATTTATTGCATGAGAAATGCATCGCTAATGAAATTCGAGGAAAAACGTTTGCAGGAAAAAGTTGTATATAATTTAATAAGTGAAAGGAAGTTATGTAGTAGCCGCATCAGGTATTTTCTTCTAGTTTGATCGATGTAATACAATTCCTTCTATTGTCAAGTGCATATTTTTTCAACTAAGCAGAAGAAAACTCGATCTGGTCCTAAAAAAAAAAAAAAAAAAAAGTCTTCAGTTATTTTTGATATTTATATGTATCTCTTATACGCTTTTGGAAGTTTATGCATGTAAAACTACTTTTTGGCCTTTCCTTACTGATATCATTTGCAATTTGCAGATGGCCCCTGTATTCATTTATATTAATGGATCTGTTTTTTCTTGCTATTAATAAAAAGATGAGATGAAAATACTTACACGTGTAGGATTAGAGGATATTTGATAATTTCGTTATCTCTCAAAGGCGGTGGCAAATACAAACGAACAGAGGCTTCTAGAAGAAGGAAAAGAGAAACATAATTACCCTTTTTAATACTTTATTTGAATTTTTTTTTCATTATTAAAAAAAAAAAATAACTGCATTGTAAAATAAAAATTACGCATCTAATATTAAGAAGAAATAAAAAAAAGGCACGAAATTAGTCCCTTATTTTATGATTTCATGTATTTACTTTAAAAAAGATAACACTTTCGCAGGATGTAACGTTAAAAGTAAATCAAATTTTAAAAAAAAGTATTTTATTAAACTTATATGCTTCTATGTACAGAATACTGTTTAAGTAGAAGCACTTGCAAACTTATGGCGCATTTTTCAAAAATAAGGTCATAAATGATTTTGCAGATTTCTTTAATCATATTTGATGCATACACTTTATAGTTTGTATTTAATAAGTACAGTAAGTAAGTTCTTTTAAATAAAATTAAAAAAATTCTAAGCAGGATATCAGTATTTTTATTCTGTAAAATTTTAAATCTATGTTTCTGTACATAGAACATTGTAGAGTCATTAAGTTTTACTAAACAGGTGACGTCAAAAATGTGGATTGCCTTCGAAGGGGTCGAACCCTGGACCTGCCGAATACGTGTCTAGTATACTTCCAATTGCACCACGAAAGCATACAGAAAGGAAGGAGCAAATACCTTATAGCACATTTGCTAAGAAATGTTTGCATACATTTATTAAAATTAATTTTTATATTTAATAATAATGTGCAACAAATACCGAAAGTAAATATCCATACTCGCAATAATGCATAATCATTATTTGGAAGCATATTTAAATAATTATTTTACATGGAAAAATAACTTTTTGAGCATGTAATAAAGTTTGCATAATCTTCGTAAAAAGTACTAATTACTCTTGCGTACTTTTAAAACTTATTGAATATTAGAATTATATGCTGCAGGCTATCGCTAATTAAATTGGGTACTTCCGTATTATCCTAATCACCTTAGTAGAAGTCGCCAGATTTTCAGAATATGCCAAACTCTGACAACTATGAGCACAAGCATACTCCAGCAACCATGGTAGTATAAATTCCTCCAGTTAAGCAACGTTGCCATTTTCATTCGCGTTCTCTTTGTTCTATTCCAAATATAACGGTTTTTAGAGCGAAAGCATGGCATTTTTTCCCCTTCAAATTAGTTTTAAAATATCGTTTGTGGAGTCTACCAGCAACTAGGTAAACGTTCTGCAGGAATATAACAATTTGCACCCAAAGCACTAAAGGTAACAATGACGAGATTAGTTCAGTAAACAGCCGGTGCGCAATGCAGAGTTTGTGCAGTTCTCTGAAATTTTTAAGCAAAAAAACAGATCGCAGTGTACATGGGGAGAAAACAAGTTTACAATATCTATAGACAGGTTTCATGAAAAATATTATTTATTTTTTAAATGGATCTATAATTTTTATTACAGAATTTAAATTTGTATCTTAAAATTTAAAAAAAAAATTCCATTTGATGTGTTGATAAAATTTTGTTGAGTTGTCATAAATATCGATAATATGAAGATGTTTTTTAATAAAAAGTTGAGAAAATCGTTAATCCTTGTACCCGGTAAGGAATTTTTGCCTTTTCTTTTGAAAACGACTACCAGGTTGCACAAAGATGGTTGCGTTAACGCTTAAGTACCCTAAATAGGTTAGCCAATTTCAGTAAAAACAAATGTTAAATTAAAAATAGAAAAAAAAAATACTACAATCGATTATATGAAGTAATATGCAAATCTTAAGTCTACAAAAAGTTGCATCATTTGCATAACATTAAAGTACATATTAAGTGTCATGCATTTTGCTAGATCGTTATATTTGCTGTGATTATTTACATCAAAAGCACACGCACATGCAAAGCAATATAAGAAGGTATATTATTCTTACGTACCATATCCACCTTTCAAAGGCACTTTAAATGTCTCTATTTGAGGTAGGGCTCTCTTCTCGAGTGCTTCTATCAAATCACTATTTGTGTCCAGGACCCTAACTGATGAAAATGAAATAACATGTAAGATGAATGCTTCGGCACATCTTTAGTGAGTAAATAAACAATTAAAAAAAATCTGAAAGGTTTCAGATTTTAAATGAAGTCCAAAGGGTTTTTTGTGTGTTACCTTAATTTATTAACTACCAAGTTTGCACTTAAACCATAAAATTCAGTTCAATAGCAATGTCGAAAAATAATTTTAAAATGAGCCATCTTTAGAATTTCCGATACACAGTTCCGCGCCCGCTGGAGATAAAAAGGTTTTTTTTTTTTTTTTTTTTTTTTTTTTTTTTTTTTTTTGCTCGTAGAGTGTGGCCATTGCTCGCTTTGAAATCCTTGAGTTTGTTAATCAAAAATTCGTTAAAGTTTCAGAAAATATGAAGTCGATCATAAAACAAATTCCAAATTTCAAATTTGGTCTTCCACATGCCCATATTCGTAGGAAGATTACGTCATTCAAAATTCGATGGCTCTAGGTGCCGTTGTTTTATCACAATGCGAGAAATAGACATACATTATGCAGATTTTTCGTTATTTAATTTCTTCAAATATAATGCAGGACTCTAACATCTGGTGGCAACAGTTTGAAAGTAAAAAGGACATTTATAGTAATTCAACACAAAGTCCAAAACGAAGACAGTAGTCCTTCAGAGACAAAGCCCCTTTGGACTAAAAAAGGCTAAAAATTACATTACAATACTGAAACTAGAGTATAAATACACTGTACAAGATACATTTCGGTACTTTGTTAGTGAGCATATAAACAATTAGAGGAGTCAAGATTACATTTCAACACTGAAATTAAAATACAATTAAACTGCACAAGCTAATACACCTAAACCATTTTGGCTGGAATAATGCAGAAATTAAATAGAAATTTAGAATATGCAGTGATTTTCAAAGAGAGCGATTAAAACTGTAAGTGCTACTGGAAGGTGGCATATAATAATATGGGGAGGGGACAGGTGGGCAGCAAAGAGATAGAATAGAAGGAGGGAGAGTTCAACTTAGAAAGTGAATTCTTGACGGTCATATTTATCCGAACGCTATGATTCGACATAATGACATTTATTTAAAATTTTTTTTGAAGCTTGGAATATCATGTTATATATATAAATGCACGAACAGAAAGTCTAAAAAGATTCCTGAAATACTTTTCACGGAGTTTATTCTGTTTACAATTAATGTCGTTTTTCCTTAACATGCTATGATACATGACAAGATTTAAACTGTGTTGATGAACATTTTATAGAATTCGGGGATAATTTTCATAACAAGCAAGAAATTGTTTTTTATAACTTTTGTGAACTGCACAAGTGTTAAATTATAATAATTCTTTTTCTTATGTGTTATTTATTATGCATTTTCACATACTGTGAACTGTTAGGATGTAATTTGAACATTTATTCGAGAGAAACTGTTTTATTGTTATAAACTCTTTTTATAAAATGTGCCTATGCCTAAAACGTATAAATTTCTGTTCAATGTAACGATAAAAATATGTAAAATATTTATTATAATTGACTATTTGGAGAGATATCTCCGAGAATCTATATACATAATTCTTTGAGTTTGAATTTAATTTCTTTAATCGAAAACCATACATATGAAAAAAGTACAAAATAAAATCCTTAAATTTATTCCAAGCATAAATATTATATATTTATTTTAAGCATTCTATTCGGAATATCCCAGTGAAAAATATTATTTTTATTTTAAGTATATTTATTCCAATTTTCTTTAAATATTTATAGCTTACTGATGATATGTTTTTTATATGGATATTAAAAATAATCAAATTTTAGCTTTAGTATATTACAGCTGAAGTATAAAACATACTGAAATACTTGTAGATAATATTTATGCTCATGAAAGATTTTAATATGAAATAGTTCTTTATCAAATTATGATAATATTGTGAATTTATCATAACTATATGCTTCTAAATGAAAAATTGCCCACCAGCGGCCGAGCGGTAAAATCGCTGAACACTGGTAGTTCGGTCCGAGGTTCGAATCCCGCGAACGGGCTGGCTGCACGGGCGTTTTCGTGGTTTTCCCCATGTGTAACGTGTATACGAGCCAGTTTCCCTTAGAAAGTCCTCCACGAAGGCATCCCTCCTCTTAGGCAGATAGCCCTCGAGGCTTTGCCGTAATCACACACACACACTAAATGAAAAATTTGAAAGTAACAGCATTAGCTGAACATATATGTTTAGATTTCACACTATTTCTTAATAATTTTCTGTATATGGTAAATTAGAGACATCATTTTTATTATTTTGAAACAAAATTTTAACAATCGAGATGAATATCATTGTAAATTTAATATATTTTAATTTCAAAATGCATACATGGAATATCCTAGAAACTAGTATATTTCATTGCCATAGAGCAATGTTATAAATATGGCCGTCGATTTCACATACATGGCCGTCTCTTGCTAGGCAGTTTCATTTTCGGATAGTGGAAGAAACTTCAAATCTTCTCTCCTTTAGGGGGGTGGGTGGGACTGAAGAAAATAGTTATTTATGGCAGTACTTAAACTGCTACTGCTCTTACTTTTCCAAGATTCGAGCTGATATCTGCAATCCTAACATGATTCGTTTGTGTTGTTGCTATTGTTACCAATCTCACTTGTCTGACAAAGGTCAGCACAAGCCCACCACATTCCGTTACAACCGAAAACATAGCGGACGAAAACGCCGCAGAGAAAACAACACAAGGTGAAAACATCGTGGCACAAAACATCGTGGGATAAAATAAAGCAAAGAGAAAACATCGCAGTTATAAAAACATCGCGGTACAAAATATCGTCACCGAAAAGAAAGCGGTTAAAAAACTTCGCAGTTTAAAAACATCATCGTCGAAAACATAGTGGTAAAAAATAAAGTACCTACAAATCATCGCATGACGATAACATCGCAGACATGCGTTTTTCAGGCTTTAATAATTGTAAATGGATAATCTCATAATGATTTGTAAGCGCAAGATGATGGATAAAAGGATAATTTTTACTTTCACATTTTTTATTGAGTAATAATTTTATAAAAAGCAAAACAAGTAATTTAAACATCTTTAAAATTACCAGTAAAACTTTATAAAAAATTAATAATGACCTTTGTTAGTTAACTATGTCAGTTTAAAATTCTATTAAGTAAGTTCTATAAGTTGCATTCATTTTCTATGCTTAAGTTTCCTTCTTACTTTATCAGCAAATATTTATTAGTAAATAAAAAATATGAACGTAACATTTTCCTTCTTTCGATCTTGCGCTCACAAATCATTATACGAGTATCCTTTCACAGTTATTAAAGGCCTGAAAAATGTATGTCATGCGATGATTTGTAGGTACTTATTTTTTACCAAGATATTTTCGAGGACGATGTTTTTAAACTGCGAAGTTTTTGAACCGTTTTCGCCTTGCGTTGCTTCCTCCGCGACATTTTCGTCCGCGATGTTTTCGGCTGACACTCGACATTCAATGTTAAGGAATCATAAGTGTTAAAGAATCATAAGCGCCTGTCTTTGGAAAGAGCTCTGAGCACCACATAGATGACAGACCGATTTTAGTTCAGTTCTAACCCCAGTTTTGAGAGCGAGCACCCCAAGGGGACCCGGTCCAAAGGTCTCTTACCCCTCTTCTACTACCACCAACCTCTCGAGGGGACTTTCTGCTCGCCGCATATTTGGAGTACCCCATACCGCACAGACACTATACACTTGCAAACATCCATGTCTTCTCCGGGATTCGAATTGGGGCCCTTGGGTACGGCAGTCAAAGTCACTAACCACTATCTCGATTGGGTGGCTGATTCGTTTGTTATCTTGATATATTACCTGAGTTTATTAGAAGCTGATTGATAATAAACGAACCGACGCCCAGCGCATAGTTGGAGATCAAAAAGCACTGGCGGTCTGTATGAATTTTTGTAACCTAAACTTATAAGGTATTTCTGCCGCCTTCCTAGCGTGCCTTCGTGGAGTAGTGGTTCTGCACGCTGGGTCGGTATTCCAGAGGTCCGTGGTTCCAGAGTATGAGAGAAATTTATTTCAAGACACATTGAATAAGTCTCCTAAAATACACAGCAGTATCCTATGTATCTACTCATTTTATGGTTTTTCTGTAGGATGTAATAACAGCCAATTACGTACAAGGTTTTCCCACTATACATAACTGATTCCATATAACTATCACGTTTTCGTTTTATTTAACTAAGGAATGGCAAGAATATAAATATCGCTACTCCAGAGTAAAGAAACCGTCTTAAATGAGGTACTGAAATGAGTAGCTGAGTGTAAATAGTTTAAAAGAAAAGGCTATAAATTTTCGGTACCTTTTTTGTATGTATAGTGCATGCATATTGCACATTTTTTAAAAATTTCAGAAAAAGAAAAATATATTGCATAGATATACGTATCTTTTACATTCTGAGATGGCTCCATATATTTCGGAAGCACCACCACACATAGAGATAAAATTATTGGTTTTTTTTAAAAATTCTATTAAGAAGACTCACATACCTTAAAACACCATAAGATCTTCGAATATGGGACTGTTGTAAAAATTGGAATAACTTATTTATTTTAAAAGCAATTACTTCCAATTTTTTACAGCTGACCACATAATATAGCTGCTTTCTGAAATAATAATCAGAACGTTTGTGTTGCCACAAATACTTTTATAATTTAATCCGATTTGTGACAAAATTGTTCGTCACGTTTACAACTTGCGCGCACAGATTAAAACATTCCGTTGCATAATTTAATTCCCTATTTAATATATAGCTTTAATAACATTTGGAAACTACTGCGAACCAAAAATTCTAAGAATTTCATTTAAAATTTTTATTTTATTAGTTTATGAAATGTGTTTTATTAAAAAAATCTGTAATGTTTTCGTGCATAATTTTTTTTTAATATTAAAGTATTCATCAGATTTTTGCTTTGGTTAAAACATAGTGCCCATATAGAGAATTCCATCAAATTTCAAGTATGTACCATTAGCCATTTTTAAAATATGCACGCAAGGTGGAAACAGTACCAAAAATTTTGTCACAAAGTGGATTAAATTACAAAAATATTTGTGGCAACACAAACCTTCTGGTCACTAGTTTCCAAAGCAGCTGTATTATGTGGTCAGCTGTAAAACGTTGGAAGTAATTGCTTCTAAATAAATAAAATATCCTAATTCTTGCAATAATCACATATTCGAAGATCATAAGGGATTTAAGGTGTATGAGCCCCCTTAAAATAAAATAAATGAAATAAACTATACATTTAGCTTTTTAATAATTGACTTCGATTTATTTACTATCTGAATTCCGTTAAAAGAAATTAATTACTTCGGGGGAAAAAAAAAAGTTTTGTAAATTATGACGTCATTGCCTGAAAGACGAACCCTGTTTTTAGCGACTCTATATAAATATATTTACCATATATGTTTTCTTACATAAATATGTGGAGAAAAATAAAATATTGAAAGCAAAGAAATGCGATGCTCTGCATTTGTGTATGAAATGGTAAATATTTTAAACAAAGAAATAAAACTTAAATTTATAAGAACAGTGTAAAAATGAATCACACATACCAAAACAACTTAATTTGTATTCAAACCTTTCTTATTCACATGAACACATTCATTTAAATCAGTGCTCTCAAATACAAATTACATGTGGGCCGAATACATAATTTAAAATCAGCTGACAGGCAAGCAGTATATATATATATTATATATGTTACCGTGAAAGACCGAAATTGAAGAATGTCGACTTTCACCGGAGAATGTCAACATTCACCAAATACGTCAGTGAAAGATCGAATATTAATTACATTCTTGTACATTCGGACCCTCACCGGTGTATGTCGACAATAACAGATATGCTCTGGTGTAGGTCGAAAAGAGAGAAGCATATGTGCACGCTGTCATTGCAAAAGAAAGTGTTCCACAAATAAATGCAGTTGTAAAAGCAAGGGCCTCTTGTGCAATTCAAAGTGTCATAATAGTTTAAGTTGTTGCAATAAATAAGATTTTAATCACATAATTTAGTAAGTTTTTAACTTCTATTTTTTTCCTTTCTCATTTTGAATATACTGTGTGTTTTAAGTTCTTATGTTCTTAAGTCTCAAGCGCGTTTTTTCGCGACTGAATTACGGAGAAGAAAATATAATATTCTTATATGTTCAACATTCATCATTAGTACATGGTGAATGCCGACATTTACCGGTGTAAGTCAGAAATAAGAATATTTGGAAAATATTTCGGACATGCACCAAGCGACTATGGGAATGTTAACATTCACCGGTGGAAGTCGACATTCTCCAGATTTCGGTGTTTTCACCGTAACATACTATATTACATATATATATTGTATATGTTACCGTGAAAGACCGAAATTGGAGAATGTCGACTTTCACCGGAGAATATCAACATTCACCAAATACGTCGGTAAAAGACCGAATATTTCACTACATTCTTGCGTATTCGGACCCTGACCGGTGTATGTCGACAATCACAGATGCTCTGGTGAAAGTCGAAAAGAGAGGTCATAAAGTGCCATAATATTTAAGTTGTTGCAATAAATAAGATTTGAATCACATAATTTAGTAAGTTTTTATGACTGTTATTTTATTTCTCATTTAGAACGTACTGTATAATTAAGTAAGTTTTAACTTCTATTATTTTCCTTTCTCATTTTGAATATACTGTGTGTTTTAAGTTCTTATGTTCTTAAGTCTCAAGCGCGTTTTTTCGCGACTGAATTACGGAGAAGAAAATATAATATTCTTATATGTTCAACATTCATCATTAGTACATGGTGAATGCCGACATTTACCGGTGTAAGTCAGAAATAAGAATATTTGGAAAATATTTCGGACATGCACCAAGCGACTATGGGAATGTTAACATTCACCGGTGGAAGTCGACATTCTCCAGATTTCGGTGTTTCACCGTAACATACTATATTACATATATATTGTATATGTTACCGTGAAAGACCGAAATTGGAGAATGTCGACTTTCACCGGAGAATATCAACATTCACCAAATACGTCGGTAAAAGACCGAATATTTCACTACATTCTTGCGTATTCGGACCCTGACCGGTGTATGTCGACAATCACAGATATGCTCTGGTGAAAGTCGAAAAGAGAGGTCATAAAGTGCCATAATAGTTTAAGTTGTTGCAATAAATAAGATTTGAATCACATAATTTAGTAAGTTTTTTATGACTGTTATTTTATTTTCTCATTTAGAACGTACTGTATAATTAAGTAAGTTTTTAACTTCTATTATTTTCCTTTCTCATTTTGAATGTATTGTGTGTTTTAGATTCTCATGTTCTTAAGTTCTTATTTCAAGTCTCAAGTGCGTTTATTCGCGACTGAATTACGGAGAAGAAAATATAATATTGTTATATTTTCAACATTCACCATTAGTACATGGTGAATGTCGACATTGACCGGTGTAAGTCAGAAATAAGAGTATTTGGAAAACATTTCGGACATACACCAAGAGACTATGTGAATGTTGACATTCACCGGTGAAAGTCGACATTCTCCAGATTTCACCGTAACATATATACCCAATTACACGAACATCACCCCTTTACAATCTGATGCTTCGTGACGCATGTGTGTGGTGTATTTCATTTAAGTTTGTTACATTTTAACAATGTGTTTCTTATATTTACTGTTTATTTCACAAACTTAAAATTTTTTTTCTTCTCACCAAAGCTGAAAGTGTGAGATTCTTTCTTTCGGTTAAGTTATCTTTAGGTGTCTAACTCCTTACAGATATTTACCCAAACACAATAAAATAGTAATAATACAAAGAAACGAATGCAAAGTTACATTCATTTTCTATCCGAAATCTAAATCTAACGGGCGCGGGACGACGAGCTTGAATTGCATCCCGTGATAAAATGTGAAATTGGGGATCATTTAGTGATCATTTACATTACCAATAAATGCACTAACATATGAAGAAGAGATTGTCTAACTGAATACAGAATCTTCTTACACCTTTATTTTTTGTATAAGAATTTGACAATAAGGACTTAAATGTTCTATTTGAACCATTCTTAACAAAATGACTTCATTTCCTTCTTTAATTAAAGCCTTAACAAGTGCAAAAACGGCTTTCAAAGTCATTAGTTTTTATTATTTTAACACTTTACTCTGCTGTTTACTCTTGTTTTCATACATCCGACGCAGAGCCTGCTAAGTTCCATCAAGATGTTCAGTTGAAAGGCCTTTTCTTCTTTCAGCCTCTATTAATCACGTGATTCATGAAGTCAGGATAAAGCTATCAAGTGGGCGGAGCCCAAGTATAACAGCTGAAGATGACTGCAGTCGCGGTTCATGGCGGTGATTTTGCTGAAAGACTTAATTTTTGTTTTACCTGTTTTTTAATATTAATCATTAAAAAAACTCTTTCAGTTTGAAATGAAAATAAAAACAGTTTTTTTTCAGGTTTTTCATTTTCCTTTTAGCTTAATTTCTAAGCCGTCGTCAGTCATAATCGTCGTAAACGAGAATGACTGTAAGAATGAGAAGAAACACAAAAATAAATTGAGAATGACTGAAAATATTGAGAGTAAGTAGATAGAAAAATGTATAGGCTTTATAAAACTGAATAATATACCTGTTTGTCTACAAATAAGAACATTGCAGCTATCAGATTACACAAACAAAGAGTGCAAATGAAGTTTGTCTGTCCGGATAATGTTCAAGCGGTTTAATTACCAAGAATAACTTTCTGAAATTCGAAACATTTTAAAATTACCGTGAACTTATTCAAAGAGGCATTTGAAAACAAACTTACCGAGTTGATTCGTCAAGGTCTCCCTGATTTCTATTTTTGGTATATCTGGACCTAAGCATTCTAGTACAAAGTAGTGCCCTCCGTGGCTGAACAAGGCATTATAGAAGAGGCAGTTCTCGTCCAAATCGCAAGTAAGGCATTTTTGTTCTCTGGGATGATCCGATGATAAGTCTTTCACTGCAAACAAATGTCTTTGTTCAGGCAGTTCAGGAAGAGTTGTAATGTAATACCTGTAAAGTCAATATTTCTTTGTAAAGTCAAAGTTAATAAAAGCATTTTATATGAAAAATTATGATCAGAGATAGAGGGAAAATATGGCATGCAATAAACAGAGGAAATGCTATCACTAGGTGAAAATTTATATGTTGCCATCTTTGTGAATAAGAAATACTTTATTATTCGCATTTAATGTGTAACTTAAACGCAGTTATTCACCAAATATTCTAGTTTCAATAAAACATAACATACGTTATTTACACAGAGAACATATTTTATATAGGCGTCGAAAATTACCTTTATGCGCACAAAAACACTGATTTCTCAAAATTTTTGAATCAAATCGAATGAATTTACATGGAGTTATCAGAATTACAACATATAAATAAAAATAAAAATCGATTTCTTTAATTTTATTTACAACTTCCATTATCCTCGCTAACAGAATCGTTTAAAAATAAAATTCAGTATTAACATCATAAAAATTCCATTGCCTCAGTAAATGTAACTAAATCACGCCGACTTTAGTTTCCAAGTAGTTAATTTGATTGTGGAAGTTTAAGCCTTTACTAAAATTTCATTCCAGACCAGATTTAATGGAAATTCTATTCACGGAATCGGCTGCGGGGTGGTCTTTTCCCTAAGAAAATTGCTGTAACATTTGTTCACGAAATAGTTTTCTCTTCCATAAGCGACTCCACAACTGGACTGGAAATTCCATTCTGCTTACAGACTATCTAAGCCTCTGTAATACGTCACTTTCAGTGAAAAAAACATCATCTCCATTTTAATGGAAATTCTATTCACGGAATCGGCTGCGGGGATGCCCTTTCTCCTCTGAAAATGGCTGTAAAGTTTGCTGACGGAATCGTGTTCCCTTCATTAAGCAAATACACAACCGGATTGGAAATTCTATTCTGCTTATAGATATCTAGTCGTCTCTGCTATGTCACTTTACGTTAAGCAAACAACATCGCCATTTTAATGGAAATTCTATTCACGGAATCAGCTACAGTGGATGTTTTCTCCTAAGGAAATGGCTGTAATAATTTGTTCATGAAATCATGGTCTCCTTAAAAGACTGCCTCACTGGACTGGAAATTCTATACTGCGTACAGATTGTCTAGCCCTTTGAAATACGTCACTTTTAATTAAGTAAACAACTGCGCCATTTTAATAATAAGTTTAAAAGCATTAAGAAACTAACTTGGAAAATTGAATGCCAATATATACGACAGAAGACTATATTATGAAATTATTAAAACAGGAAAAAATGCGTCAAGAAAATTGTAGAAAAAATGGCTGTCTTTTGAAACGAATGCAGACTTTGGTCACAAGCGATTTCAAATCTCTTAATATGTGCACATAACTATGTAATTTCATGCTTAATGAGCGGGTTAGTTACAATATGAGAGAGTAAATTCCATTCCTTCACCAATACGGTCTTCAAATGGTTCAGCTGTCTAGGAGAACTTCGGCCACAAAAAGCTCTTCCAAAATTGTTCCTTTATATTTGCTATGAAACTCAAATCAAAGATTGTTCTAGACAGTTTATCCAAAATCCAAAATATATCCAGATTGTTTATAGTGCTCCTTAATACTAAATGATTTAATGGAGTCATCATATGATGTGTCGAAAATTTTGTTGTCAAGAATATTTTGAGAGAGGATATCAACTCAGCCCCATATCGAGTCTTATAAGATCCTAAATGTACTGAATACTCAGGGGTTTAATAAAGATTGAATGAGTAACTTCTTTTGAATAACTGTTTGGAGATTCATGATTTAAAAAATGGCCTAGGATTGAATTATTTGGATTACGGCAAAACCCACGATGGCTAGCTTCCGAAAGAGAGGGATGCCTTCATGAAGAACTTTTTAAAAGAAACTGGTTTCGTATTTATGTTACATATGGGGAAAACCACAGAAGTTGTTATGCAACCCGTTTGCCGAGGTACAGATATCCCGGGTCCAGATAACCCGGATCAAGATATTACCTCTCGGCCGCTGGTGGCTTCGCTTTAAAAAATTAATCAATCGCTTTAAAAAATTAATAAATCTTTAGATCACGTGATGGTTTTGATTATAAATAAAAGAAATTTAAAATGCTTCAAGTAAGAGTTTCGTCCTAGATATTGTTGCGTTTTTCTTTTCTGACACCAGTTGATACGTTATTTTCTTCCTTCACGTTCGTACGGGGTTCGTGTGGATTTGGAGTGAATAATGACGACACTACTTGATGAAGTATCGAAATACACTTTATTGGCCAGTATTGTCAGGACAGCTCCAAAACACGCTTTTACAGTTGTCGATGAACTATTACAAACACGCTGACACGATCAACAACACAGCATCCAGGTTATCAGGCAATCACGGTGGAGACAGCTTCACTGCAAAGCACAGTACAGCTCCCAACTCTGCTTGGTCGTTCTCGGAACACCACGTATTCTCGAGACTCTCCACGCGATGTGCTCGACGATACACAAGGGTATAGCTCTCGACTCAGCACAGTCTAAGACAAAACTCGACGATGCACTAAAAATACTCTCTCGATGCGCTCGACGACCAACTCGGCACTAGACTTCGAGACACTCGCTCATTGACTGACTATCAGCTCGCTGACCAGGCACACACACTAACTGACTGCGGACAATCACGGTTTATATAGCTTTCGGCTTGTGTTCGAGAACATTCTGGGCTAAACCGGTAAGAATTCGTTCCAGAAGGTTCTCCATCCGTCCATGGTATGTCGCCAAATGGGCGATTTCTCGCCAAATGTGGCAACCCTGCATTCCCTTGCCTTTTTATGGCAACCCTAACACTGCTTTGCGGGGAAGCCATCTCACCGCGCCTGTACATTTCGTAACAATATATTACTGCATAATCTACAGTGCTATCTTGCATCTTATGTACTGTTGTTGCCCATGATAGTATTAATGGCAGCATTCTTCGTTCAGCAATACCGTTATTGCATTTTGTGGGGAATCGCACTGATATTGGCTCGATTCCATTATTGCCAAATCCATATATTATTATCACGTTAACAAAGAAATATGGGGAGAATTTTCGCTACATAATGGGACATTACATCCGCTTCGTCCAACTCTATAAAACTGCAATTCTTTAATTTCATACACTTTAAAAATCTTTAGAACTCTGTCTTACTGTTGCCACTTATTTTTGTTAAATATTACAACTCCATTTATCACAGTCATATACTATTGTTTATAAGTTGTTATAAAATCAATTTTTACAACACGTGATAATTCCCAATAAACGATCATTATTTGTAAGTCTTATAATACTTCAAACAGAAATAAATAAGTAGGATCTATGGATAAACAGAAATAAATAAGTAGGAATTGACTTTAACATGTGAGGAAACTGTATTAACATCAAGTGTCATCCACTACAAGTTAAAAAATGTATTTGAACTTGAGTGGTTAAATAAAAAGTATTTTATTAACGACTGAAAATTTGAACAAGATCTAGGGAGAGTGTGAGTTAATAGTAGGAATTAAAAAAATATGATATCAAAATTACCCAAAATGTCATTATTAAAATCTAAGGATGTACAGAAATCGTTAAAGAATATGATTGAGTCTAAAAGAATGAGAAGTTCTAAAAGATATATTTTGCATTAGAAAATAAAAATAAAAATATGGTCTCGACCATTTATAGAAATGCTTCAATTTGATGCTTTCTGTTTAATGAAATTCAGTTTATAATTTTATATCGCCTATAATTTGACGTTTTATTCTTCAGAAGAAAGTGGTTAAAATCATATAAATTCAATACTTTTTTCAGAGGCAGTTTTACATTTTATGGACTTTCTTTTACTCCTAAAAATCTATATTAGGAGAAGGAATAATTTGTAAATTATAATTTCTTTATAGCTGACCCATATAAAAATTTAAAAATTGGCGACATGGCTTAAACTACATTCCGAAACTGAAAATTGTAATTTTATAACATATTTTTGCTTTTGAGTAGGATTTAATATTATGCGAAATTTTATGCTACACTTTACCTACATCTTAAAAAAAAAAGTTAAGATTAGATGTCTTCAATTCAACCTTTTTCATATTTTTTTACACTATCCGATCACTACCCACTGCTGGTTTAAACTTCAGTGTAACTTGTGCAACTGCTGGTCTATTTGCCATTATCGATGTGAAAAATCTTTTACAATTTATTATTCAAATTATGCCATTACGATTTTTATAGCAAAGCTAATTATTTCAAAGAAATATGCTTGTTTGATTATAACATTATTACCAATTTTAACATCAACAGAATCAATAAAAAATATTTCAAATGCCTTGCATTATGTAACTTCGTTAGGAATGTTTTAAATATCTTTTTCAGTAACAGTATCAACAGAAGTAATGATTCCATTATTTTTTTAGCTTCTATATTTCATAAGAATGTTGTATCACTCGAGGTATATTAAATGAAATATTAAGATATTTAATACTAAATTTATTTATTTTGAAACCGCGCGTGTGTGTGTGTGAGTATGGCAAAGCCTCGAGGGCTATCTGCCTAAGAGGAGGGATGCCTTCGTGGAGGACTTTCTAAGGGAAACTGGCTCGTACACACGTTACACATGGGAAAAACCACGAAAAGACCCATGCATCCAGCCTGTTCGCGGGATTCGAACCTCGGATCGAACTACCAGTTTTTAGCGACTTTACCGCTCGGCCGCTGGTGGGCCAGAGATTCAATATTACAAGCAGGTATTGTGCAATGGATATTTTGAGTGCAGGTTTTAATAAAAATTATTTTCAGTAGAATTCCTACCTTTATTTTGAAAAACTTAGTTTCCATTTTAAAAGAAATATTCGAATTAATTATTCTGATGGTGATGCAAATATGCATTCTAAAATGTCATATAGTATATGTACAGCTGGTTTTTTTTTACAAAACATTTATTTAAAATATACTAAGTACGCGATCGCTATTCAGAACACAAGCATAAAAATAATGAATATAAATTTATTAAAATTAATTC